CACTGCTTTCCCAGTGCATCATTAGGGAGCTAGATCGGAAGTGGAACAGCCAGGAATCAAACCAGTGCCTATATGGAATGCTGGCATCATAGGCGGTGGCTTAACCCACTACACCACAATGCCGGCCCCTGTTGAAGGCATTTGGAGAGTGAACTGGTCAATGGAAGGTCTCTCTCTCTTACTATGCTGCTCTGCCTTTCAAATATATATATTTGATATACAAATATATACATATTTGATAATGACTGAGTAGTATATGTGTGTGGAGTTGTATTTCCTATTGATGGATATTTAAGTTGTTTCCAGTCTTTTGCTATTACAAAGAAGGCTAAAAGCACAACCTGGTATCTTTTATGTAAATATGCAACTCTAACTGTTACATGAATTACAAGAAAAAGAATTGCTAAGTCAAAGGTTAATATTTTGAGATGTTTCCATGTTATCCCATCCCCACCCACAAAGATATAATACCAACTTACATTCCCACTATTGGTGCCCAAGACTGTATGCTTTCCTATTCCTCAGTTTTTAGACTGTTTATTTTTGCTTTCAACTAACTTAATTTTTCCAGCTCATCTTGCTGCTCCTTGACCACCGTAATTCCTCCACTCCCTTTGATCCCCATGGGCCGCTGTCATCACTCCCATCTTTTCTCTCTTTTCTACGCTCCCATTTCTATTTCAAGGTCCATCATTACAATCACTCGTCTGCAAGCACTGTCAAATCCCTTATCTCTGTCTCCTTTATGTACTTTATGGCGGTGTTCCAGGCCCGGTTACATCCAGTTCTCTTCCTGTGTCACACCCAGCAGTTGTGTGTCTGGTGAAAAACAGGCAACCGCGCAGATCCTCACTGCAGGCTCCCGGCCTCAGCCTCAAGCGGGCCTTGTGCTGAGTCCCATTCTCTCACCTGCTCACTCTGACTCTCCTGAGGGCTGTTCCGTTCTTCTTCCTCTCTTCAGCTCTACAGCGTCTGCTGATGGCTCTGCTGATGAGTCTGCTGCTTACTTCAGCGAGGACTTCCACAGCCGCCACCGCATTTACTAGCCCACCAGGGCCGGTGCCCACATATTCTGCCTTCTCTCCTGTCCCTGTGGGTACACCGTCCAACCTCCCTTCTAAAGCCACCCCTTCCAGTTCCAGCCCCCTCACACATGTAAGGCTCTCTCCAGCAATTGTTCTTTCTCCCTCATCATCAGCGTTTTCTCCCTACTGAGCCATTCTCATTAGCATCAAACTTGCTGTCATATTTTTTTTATTTGGAAAAGAAATCATCCATCAACTCTGTGTCCCTTCCAGCTAATGTTCCACTTTGCTATACAGTAAAATTTCTCTACAAAGTTACACATATGTACTGTTTCCCTTCATCTCCGGTTCTCTCCTGAACCCATTCCATTCAGATATCTGCCTCTATCACTCTACAAACCAAGTTTAGTTGAGGCGCTCCCTATATGGCCATATCCAAAGGTCCTCAGTCCTCACGTGCATGTGACTCAGTGACAGCATTTGACATATGACATCGGTCATGGTTTCCTTGAAACACTTTATTCTAATCTCTGCTCAGATATCACTGTATCAGAAAGGACTCTCCTGGGGGACAGCATTGTGGCACAGAAGTTTAAGCCACTGCCTGTAACACTGGTCTCCCATATGGGCACCAGTTCAAGTCCTATCTACTCCACTTCCTATCCAGCTCCCTGTTAATGCACCTTGGAAGGCAGTGATGGATGGCCCAAGCTCTCCTTCGCCCACGTCAGAGACCCAGATGGAGTTCCAGGCTCCTGGCTTCAGCCTGGCCCAGCCCCAGCTGCTGTGGTCATTTGGGTGAGTGAAAGATCTCTCTCTCTCTTTCTCTCTGTAATTCAGCCTTTCAAATAAATAAATAAAAAGAAAGAAAAAAAAAAAAGAAAGAAAGGACTTTCATGAACATTCTCAGTTAAATACCTAGCCTATTAGTCCCTTCAACCTTGCTCACCCTGCCTCCTACTCTTCAATATTGATAACACTTGACATTCTGTATTTACAGTTTTTTTTAAAAAAAAGATTTATTTATGTATTTAAAAGGCAGAGTTACAGAGAGGCAGAGGCAGAAAGAGAGAGAAAGGTCTTGTATCCACTGGTTCACTCCCCAGATGGCTGAAATGGCCAGAGCTGGGCTGATCCGAAGCAAGGAGCCAGGAGCTTCTTCCAGGTCTCCCACGCAGGTACAAGGGCTCACAGACTTGGGCCATCTTCCACTGTTGTCCCAGGCCATAGCAGAGAGCTGGATCGGAATTGGAGCAGCCGGGACTTGAACCAGTGCCCGTATGGGATGCTGGCACTGCAGACCAGAGCTTTAACCTGCTGCACCACAGCACCGTCCCTTGTATTTATAGTTTTTAATTAGCTTTCTCTCATTCAATCTTAAGCAACACAACTGTAAAATGGAATCTTTGAGATAATTAGGGGTATTTGAATATAGATCAAGTATTGGATAATATAAAAATTGCATTAATTGTGTTGGGCATGACATTTATGTGGGAAAAATAAAAATCCTATCAATTAGAGACACAATGAAGTACCTGTGAGTGAATTGACATAAAGTCTGAAACTTTCTTTAAATTACTCAAGAATGACTCCAAGATGTTTGACTTGAGCCATTGAGTAGAGTAGGGCTGTTATTTGCAAAGATTTTTTTGAAGACTGCAGGAGGAGACAGTTTTGCAAAGGATGGAAGTGGAAGAAAATAATGGGTTTGCACATGTTAAGTTTTCGATGTGCATAGATACCCAAGTAGAGACGTTGAGTAAGCATTTGGCTATACCAGTCTGGAGTTCAGGGAAGAGATAAACATCTGTGAGTCATCAAGGTTCATGTGATATTTAAAGCCTTGAAACTGGATGAGAACATTTAGAAAATGAAAGTTGACTTACTTTTTAAAAGAACAGGAAGAGGTCTGAGGACCAAACCTATTAAAGCCCTCCAAAATTAAGAGGGCAGAGATAGGAAGAAGTCATCAGAAAAGACAATGAGGAAGGAGTGGCCAGTGTGGGGGAGAACAACTGTGGTGGCCTGAGAGCCAGGCAAAAAGTGCCCCAGGTTTTAAAAACAGCTATGCAATTAAATGGCTTAGCAAAGTGAAGACAACACAGTAATTCATCTCCCTACATCAAAATATGTGGCAACTGATGATAATTGATACAAAATGCCAGAATTTTTATGCTAATGATATTTTAGAATTCTTAGAATATCCATTAGTATGCAAATTACAGTTAGAATAATAGCCAAATATCAGTAGCAATCTCAGGATTTAATTCTTTTTTACATTATTGTAGTGGATAGTGTTGTTCATAGCTGCCTCCCTCTCTGGCATATCCTTTGGCTGCAAGGAGCTGCCTCTTCTAAAATTATATCCACAACCAGAAGTATACCAAGTCAAAAGACTTGCTAAGGGCAGGAAAATATAGCTTGGCCTGCTTGCCTCAGTTTGGGACATTCTAAAGGCCCATTCCTACCCCTTGAATTTTCCATAGGATGACAGAGACTGGGGTCAGCTTCTCCTGTGTCCCATTCCACCTGCTTCAAATTCTTGCCAGAAGTCTCTCTCCAATAAACTTCTGCATGCAACTCTCCCCTCAAAATTTGTACTGAGGGAATCCAGTCTAAAACAATGGTCTACCAGAGAGGACACTATTCTCCAGTGTAATTGTGCCATTTACAAAACAGTTCTAGAGATCATTTTTTTGTTGTTGTTGGGAAAGTCAGGTCACTTGTTCTGTACAAATTCTCATATCTTGGATTTGGCTGATTGCATTCCAATATGCATTTTTAAAATATTCATTTATTTGAAAAAATTATAGAGAGGTAGAGGCAGGGATGGAGGGGGGGAGAAACAGAGCAAGTGAGAGATCCCCAGATTGCTGGCAATGGCTAGAACTGCACCAATCCCAAGCAAGGAACCAGGAGCTTCTCCCAGGTCTCCCACGTGGGTGCAGGGGCCCAAGGACTTGGGCCATCTTCCACTGCTTTCCCGGGCCATAGCAGAGAGATTAATGGAAATTGGAGCAGCCAGGACTGAAACCAGCGCCCATATGGGATGCTGGTGCTGCAGAAGGCAGCTTTACCCGCTATACCACAGAGCCAGCTCCTCGAATATACATTCTTTATCTGATAGCTTCTGAAACTGTTGGTGAGTCTAGAGGCTTGAATAGATTCACTTTTTTTAAAAGATTTTATTTATTTATTTGAAAGTTAGAGTTACAGAAAAAGAGGGACAGGGAGAGAGATCTTCCATCAGCTTATTCACTCCCGATATGATGGTAACGGGCAGAGCTAGGCCAGGTTGAAGCCACGAGCTTCATCTGGGTCTCCCACATGGGTAGCAGGGGCCCAAACACTAGGGACATCTTCTGCTGCCTTTCCCAGGCCCCCAAAAGGAAGATGGATTGGAAGTGGAGCAGCCGGGACATGAACCAGTGCCCACAAGGGATGCCAGTGTCCCAGGTGGCAGCTTTCTCCACTATGCCACAGTGCTGGCCTCCAAAGTCACCATTTAAAGCACTGAAATCCTGTTTTACTTCTCATTTCCACCCTTGTAAGGTGTAAATATAATGCAATGTAAGGAGAGGAAAAGTCAAAGCTTCCCAGGATCGGAGATGACTTGTGAATGCAAGTGTCTCCCTGTGGACATCTCTAACCCACCCCACCACACACTGCTACACACATGGACTTGGTGTCTGCAGCCCCTTCTAGATATACATGCGGGACTGGAAACAATTAACTGGAGAGTTTGTTTACCTGCACATGCAGTCTTAAACACTAAACACCTTCTTTCTGAAGCACAGTGTGATTAGTCTCTTCTTATCTAGGAAGAGAGCTGAAGGCAGCGACACAAGCTCTAGATTATTTGCATGTAGAATTCCATGTTGTTACTAATTTTAAAAGCCATCCTAGCTTTCTTCTGCCAAATGGTTTGATTGTGGATCATATTCTTTCACCGGCAGCTGGTATATTCTAAATCAATTAATCAACATGCATTTATCAAGCACCTGCTGTGTGATCAACGTCATTCTTGGAGAATTCATGCTGATTAAATTCTCTGTAAAACAATTAGGAAGCTGTATCTTGTTTTTGCTCTGCCCCATTCCTACCCCCAAATTCATACAAATGCATTCCAAAATCAAATAAATGCTCTTTTTGTATCAATTTAGCATTTTGAATTATCTACATTATGCTCCGTTCTGTTGAGAGTTGATAACACCCTGGTCAATTACGATTTTTCTAAGCTAGTCAAAGCAGTTTGACATAAATGTATACATTTCTGAATGATTGTGTTCTTTTATATATCTCCTTTTAAGGAAATTTATTTGCTAAGGTTTTGTTCACTTGTTTATGCCGTTACAAGTAACAGAAACCAGCTTGTACTGGCAAAAAGAGAAAAAAGAAAAAAACTTATTGAAAATATATTAGGCTCTCTCATGGAATCCAAAGAATTGAACAATCAACCGTGAAAGGCAGAAGCCAAAGAAGCTCTGGGACCTGGGCAACAGCTGCTCACAAGCCTCCCCTTTGGAATTCTGCCACTAATGTGACTTAGTGCCAAACTCTGTGTAGCTCAGTTCAAAATTCAAAATGGGGGCTCAGGGTGGGGGGAGATGGAATCCGATTGGTTCAGCTGTGGTTAGAAGGCTGCTGCTCCAATCAAATGTGGCCTAGAGGCAGAGTCCCATGCTCGGTATCCCCCACCGCCCAGTCCTGAAGTCACCAGCCACACATGGATATGGCAGATTTCGAGTGTGGCTAGAATGACTGAGGAACCGAATTTTTAAATTTTAATTTTTATTAGTTTAAAAATTGAAGCAGCATAGCATATTTTTCCATTATACACAAATTCATTGTTTTTTTAGATCTGCATTTCACTTTGTTAAAATTTACCATCTGAATTGAGATAATGCTGCCAGGGTAAAACACCCATTGGATCATGAAGACAGCGTTTTTTAAAAGGTAAAATATCTCATTAATAATTAAATTTCTATTGATTAGAAATTATATTTTATACAGTAGTTAAATAAAATATTAAGATGCATTTACTTTTTACATTAAAAAATATCGCTACTGTTACTAAAGATATTACTTCTACTAGAACATTTTAAAGTACCTATATGGCATATATCATGACTCTTTTGGACAGTGATGATTTTGTAGCTAACAACATTTTGGGACCAGTGGCAGTTCCAGGAGACTGGATGAAAGTTTTGAGCAGGACAGACACTTGCAAGGGGCAAGGGGTCAACAGAAATTTCTGGGACAACATAACGTACTCAGTTTACTATGAAATACATCTTTTCAGCATTATTTGACCACAGTATTCACTGTATAATTAAGGACCAGTGAAAGCCTGTTAGCTCAGAATTTAACATCTGATGCTGCTAATACCCATCCAACCAACAGTTACTGACGAAGTCCCTCTCCTCGGCAGCTGAAAATCAAGTATTAACAGATGCTCTGAGAAAATGGTAGGTAAGAAGAGAGAGTGGCAGGGAGTGTGCTCTATCGGGATGATCAGGCAAGGGCTGATTGGGTGACGCCGCAGCAGAGACTGAAAGGAGGGGCGATGAGTCACGTGACTCAGAAACAGCAGTTCTCCTGACAGATGGAATTAGTTGAGTCTGTTTCAGGGTCCTCAAGGGGGCTTCTGTGAGAAAAACAGAGAAAGGAGGGAGGTGGAGAAGGAAGGCAGAGTGGGCACTCTGAAGCGGGATCGTTCACAGCCCTCAAAACAAAATAAATGGTGTGATCTCGTTTGCATTTTCTGTTAGCGTTCCTCAAATCATCCCGGTAAGACTTGACATTTTATGACTCAGTTTTTCCTGTGGAATTTTTTCCCTCGTCGTTATTTTTTAAATGATCAACTCCTATTTTTTTGCTCTGTGTTTATCTTATGGAGAAATGAAATGAATTAAGAAAAAATTATGGAAAACTTAATTGAAAAATTAAATCCAGAGTTATTTCCATTCTGAATTAATTTGAATCCTGGAAACTTTCTATGCCTTTTACCCAAATAAAACGTTCATACAATTTAACTATAGGATGGAATTATTTAACTCAGAAAAATCAATTTTTATCCAAGACAGAAGACTCTGTAATAGTTAAGAATTCTTTTAAAAGCCTTTGAATACAAAATTTTAAAAAAATTCACTAAATTGTCTAACACACAAATAACCAGACATGGATGCAGAGACACATAAATTTTTAAAGTTTGCTAAACATGTGTATAATTTGCATATAAGATATATAAGGAGTCTTCAAAAAGTTTGTGTAAATGCATACTATGAAAAAATAATACATGGCTTTCAACATTTTTTGCACCAGAATAAACTTATTTTTTTAGTTCCATTTCTATGAACTGTTAAAAGTCCCCTCGTATATTCATAATAACTGTGAATTACACACAGTAACTACCACTTTTTAAGTACTTACTCTATATCATTTACCCATGACTATAATGGTTTGTTAGTGCTGTCATAACAAAATAGCCAAACAGGGTGGCTTCAACAACTGAAACTTATTTTCTTACAGTTTTGGAAGTTAGAAGTCCAAGATCAAGATGTCAGCAGGTTTGGTTTCCTCTCAAGTCTGTCCTTGATTTGATCTCGCTGTCTCCTGTGTTTGCATGTGCATCCCTGGTGGCTCTCCAAGTGTCCAAATTTCTCTTCTTTAAAGGACACAGTCTGGAGCTGGTGCTGTGGTGTAGCAGGTTAAGCCTTCACCTGCAGTGCCAGCATCCCATATGGGCGCCAGTTTCAGTCCCGGCTGCTCCACTTCCAATCCAGCATCTCTGCTATGGCCTGGGAAAGCACTGGAGGATGGCCCAAGCCCTTGGGCCCCTGCACCCGCGTGGGAGACTAGGTAGAAGCTCCTGGCTTCTGGCTTCGGATCGGCACAGCTTTGGCCATTGCAGACAATTGGGGAGTGAACCAGCAGATGGAAGACACTTCTCTCTCTCTCTCTCTCTCTCTCTGCCTCTCCTCTCTCTGTGTAACTCTTTGAAATAAAGAAATATTTAAAAAAAAATAAAAAATAAAGGACACAGCCATGCCGGGCCGGGATCCTGCTAATGGCATCAGTTTTACTGAATCATGTTTTTCTTTTCTTTTCTCTTTTCTTTTCTTTTCTTTTCTTTTCTTTTCTTTTCTTTTCTCTTCTCTTCTCTTCTCTTCTCTTCTCTTCTTTTTTCTTCTCTTCTCTTCTTTTCTTTTTTCTTCTCTTCTCTTTTTTTTTTTAAGATTTGTTTATTTGAGAGGCAGAATTACAGAGAGAGGTACAGAGAGAGGGAGAAATAGAGAGAGATCTTCCATCATCTGGTTCACTCATCAAATGGCCGCAACAGCTTGAGCTGATCCAAAGCCAGGATCTAGAAGCTTCTTCCAGTTCTGCCAAGTGGGTGCAGGGGTCCAAGCAGTTGGGCCATCTTTCACTACTTTCCCAGGCCATAAGCAGGGAGCTGGATAGGAAGTAGAGCAGCCAGGATCGAACTGGTGCCTATGTGGGATGCTGGCGCTGAAGGTGAAGGCTTACCCTACTTCAACACAGCACCAGCTCCTGAATCTTGTTTTTCAAAGGCCTATCTCCAAATAAAGTAAACATTCTGGGTCTCTAGGGATTAGAGCTTCACCATATGAATTATAGGGAGAAGCAATTCAAATTCAGCCCATAGCACTATCACTGACTTCTTATGAAAGTTAAAAGTTGAATAAAATGATGTGATAAAGCATGTGATAAGTGCTATCATAGAAATATGTAGAATTAATTGGTTGGGTATATTGGGAGCAGAGACGAGAGAGTGCAGATTTTGCTTTAATGCAATACCTGGGATGAATCAGAAAGCTCCCCAGAAAGCCATTAGAAATGGCTTCAGAGGACAATTAGATGTTGTTTATTTTGCACCAGCGTTTACGGTAGCTGTGCCTCAGTCATAACGGAACCAGTTAAGTGTTCAAGATATCATACATGAACAAGTGATTAGGAAGCAATAAGGCACTAATAAATATTCCATTTTCTTCTTTTGTTAATTAGCTAAATTACCATATCCCTTATTCCTTCAGAAAACAAATTGCTAAATGAAAACCTAAATACATAATATCTCATTTGCCTTCTTTATGTTCTAATATTTGGCAAAATGTTTTGTTCCTCATTGTGTTCCTCCTCTGTCTTTCCTTTATTTGGGTTTTACAGAATAACCATTGAGTCTTGATTTTTTTTTTTTCTGGAGTGGAGAGAGAGCATAAGAGCCTTCTATGAGAATTTTAGATATCTTCTTGTGATTGATAATGGCATCTGAAGAAAATTAGTTGTCGCAGGAGCTAGACAGAATATAAACTTAAGTTTTGTGTTTCTCTCAGGTTGAGTAAGTCCTTGAATTGAATTTAAGTGGAATTCTTTATAACTTTTTTGTTTTCATGCTTAAACATTGATATAGTAAAATAAAAGACACATGTAAATTTATTTTACTTAATTTTAAAATCGCAATTAAAACCCAAATATAATTACATTAACACAGTATATTTATTTCTCACTCATAATAATCCATACATATAAACGTTTTAAAAATGTGTCTTGAATATAAGATAGCCTATGAAAATGTCTTTATTTATACTTGCAAAGTAACTTTTACTTTCTCCAAATTACTTGAAATGTTACTCCTGGAAAGAGCTTTTGAGTCTTGCTGGCAAGTGTCCTTCCCTCTAGAGAAATTAGTCGGACAAGAGTCTGTTTCTGTGGGTTTTTTTGTGGTTGCTGTGGCTGGGACTGTGGTGATTGGGTCATGCCGATAATAAGTTAATCAGTTATATTCACAGTACCCTATTGTGTGACGTGAGAATTAAGTCCTAACTCCACTAATTACATTGTGAAGAATAAGATTGTTTCCCACTAAATGTTAAAATGCTTTGAATTTTTTGCACTTTTCTCAACTTTTACTGCTGTGAAAACTTCATCCTGTATAAAATATACAAAACTATATATAGTTAAAATGTGCCAAATAACAGTGACTCCTGAGAAGCTCATAATCACAGGACAAGTGGCATTCTGACAACTTGTGTTGATTTTGCTAATGAATAGTTTATCTTAAATAAAATACCATGTTCTTCATAACTGTCATAGTTTAACTGGGGAAAAGAATTTGTTTTAAGATTTAGCAGACTAATTGCAATGCACTGTCTTGGATTGAATCCTGGAATAGAAAAAGAGCATTAGTGGGAAACGTGAAATCCATATAGTCTAGTGTGTACCAGCAATGCACCAGTATTGATTTCCTAGTATTAAGAGGAGTTAGCATTAGAGGGCACTGGAGGTAGGATATGCAGGGACTCTCTACTATCTGCAACTTTCTGTGAATTTCAAGTAAATTCTGAAATAAAAAAAGCTTGTTTTTAAAAAAACAAAAAAACTGGAGCCAATGCTGTGGCATAGCAGGTAAGTAAGTCACTGCCTGCAGCACCGGCATCCCATATGGGCACTGGTTCAAGTCCCAGCTGCTCCACTTCAATCCAGCTCTCTGCTATGGCCTGGGAAAGCAGTGGAAGATGGCCCAAGTCCTTAGGTCCCTGCTCTATTTCCATGAATATGTGGGCTAGACTCATTATTCCAGGGATGTGGATGGGACTCGGGTTATATGAAAACAAGAAAGAGAACCTAGATGCAAAGTCAAAAAGGCTAGGAACCAAGAGTGCTTCCAGGTGAAGAAGTTCAAAGCAGGCAGAAAGTTCTTGACTGGGGGTGGGGGAGTCCTCTAGGGTGGGGATATAGGTATTCACTAAATGATAAACCTAAAAAATGAGGTTTTAAAAATGGTTAGGTTTCATTAGAGAAAATGTGTAAATGAAAATGATGAACGTAACACTGAATGAGGCAACTTTTAAAAGTACTTTTGAAATTGATCTGTACATGATAAACATTTGGAAGCTGCTGGCTGACCAAAACTAAGGAAGTGGCGGAAGACTCAC